CAAATAAAGAGAAGACTCAAATAAATAAACAAAAAAGAAGACATTACAACTGATATCACAAAAATACAAAAGATAATCTGCAGCCAATTGATCTGACCATGCTCCTTTCCTCATAGGTGCCCAGTGTGCAGTTGCTACAAACAGCAGTCTTCTTGGTAGTGTATGCTGCCTGTTGCTTGTATGGGTTGCTCTAAGGGATCTTGGAGACAGCCGTTTCCAATGTACGTTCATGTGTCAGACTTTGTGTTGTCCCCAATCTAGGCTCCAGACGAGTATGCAAGGTGCTTTTGGAAAACCCCAGTGCACCATGGCCAGGATTCATATTGTCATCATGTCCATCCACACCAAGTTGCAGAGCAAGGAGCATGTGATTGAGGTCGTATGCAGGACCAAGTTCAAGTTCCCTGGCCACCAGAAGACCCACATCTCAAAGAAGTGGGCTTTACCAAGTTTAATGTGGATGAATTTGAAGACATGGTGGCTGAGAACAGCTCATCCCAGATGGCTGTGGCATCAAATATGAAAACTGTCCAGAAAGTATCCAGCCATGTAATATGAAAAATGATATTAACAATGGCTGGATACTTTCTGGACAGCCCTTGTACATCCCCAATAATGGCCCCCTGGACAAGTGATGGACCCTGCTCTTATGAGGGCTTCCACTGTGCTGCCCTCTCTTTACTTATGCCCACCAATAAATCCTACTTCCTGTCCCCCCCAAAAGAAATACTAAAAATCAGAGGTTGTTATGAACAACTATAATACACTAACAAACTGGAAAACCCAGCAGGAGTGAATAAATTCATGATTCATGGACACATACATGAACAATTCATGTTGTTCAGTAGACAAACAACATGAATAGACATTTCTCAAAATCATACAACCTACAAAGATTGAATCATGAAAGAAATAGAAAACCTGAACAGACCAATGAGTGATGAGATTCAATCAGTAATAAAAAGTATGCCAAAAAGGAAAAGTCTAGAACCAGATGGCTTCACTGCCAAAGTCTACCAAACTTACCAGGACGAACTAAATTTTTCTCAAACTATTTAAAAACGTTGAAGAGGAGGAAATTCTTCCTAATTCATTCTATGAGGCCAGCAATACCCTAATACTCAAACCAGACAAGGATG